AGACCCCCCAGGTTGGATTTTTTTTTTTTTTTTTAATTTAGACCACCATGATTCTTCCTTACACCAGTTTAAATTTCGATGAGCGCCAAAGATCTACCTTAAGAGGAACAGTAGCTTGTTGGCAGGTACATATTTCTGATGGCACAGTGTGTTCCTCAAACAATTATGTCTTATCACAACACTCACTTAAAATTTTACATCGAACTGTATCATGGGGCCCTTTTAAAAATCCCCTCATTAATGATGATCACGTAAGTACCATTAGATGTGAGACATTCCTATATTGCTTGTAGGAGTTATGATTTAATTCTATTACAATCTACTCCACCATTTGTGTAATCACTCCTGACACTTTACCTTTTGTTTCGTAAAAATTATCGTCTGCCACCGAAAAAAAAAAAGACGGTATTTTGTTTGTCATTGCCATCCGATTGGAAAGGTGTTATCAATCAAATGTTGTGCACAGTTATACTTGAAAATTCACTGACAGCTCTTGGGAGAAGCTGTATTACTGGAAGACAGTTGTTACCTAGGTCTCTGAGGCAACACAGAGACACTAATAAATCTCCCACACATTCCCGTGAATTAGGTAGGTATTATGCAGCATTTGTGGGGAATAGTTTGGATTTTCTTCGGCCTTTAATAGTGACTAGCATGGCTCAATGTGGTCCATGACTCTAGGAGCCACTATAAAGGAACACTTGCACTTGCTTTATCTCAGTAGGTGAGTTTGCAAACACACAGGGAGCAGAACTGAGAAGTCGCTTCCCTCACAAGACACAATACAATGTTCTGGTTTAGTACCTAGGCTGAGCTTTTGGCCAAAAGGAGGAGGCAAAGACGTTTTACCAGAGCTGGAATTTTCACTTTCTGTTTCTCGCTCATTTATTTTTTGTCATCAGAAGTGTTACACGCAGAGAAAATATTCCTTTACAGGATAAGTAAATAGAAACAGCTACAGAATTCCAACCGCCTACAGTGTACAGTGAGCGTTTCGACCAAGTCCCTTAACTAGCAGCGAGTTTCCTTTCACAGAAGTTATACTGGTAGTCCTCCTCACGTTAATACTATTGCTCTTATCTTCTGAGCAGAGAGAAGGTCCATGTCACAAAGAGGAGATTTTTCAGAAATTATTATCATAAACTTGATTATTATTTTTTTTCAGCAGTTTCACTGTAGTACCCAGAGGCTTACAGGGAATAGGGAATTTCATCAAGAAAGAGGTTTTGAAAGTTCTTACCTTGGTCACAGAGGAACATAGTGAATTAAATTTTCCTCCTCAGTGTGCTCTTTGAGCTGGGGCTATGGCTTCTGAGTACTCTGAAGGTGAATGTGATGTGACTAGTGATCAAATTGCTTCATAAGGAAAAGTTCATCACAGTCGGGGTAACTGCTTAAAATGCAACATAAACAAACAGGTCTGTGTCAATATTTTGAGTTTGTGTAAACAATTCAAGCTGTATCACTCTGGAGATAATGATACGTAATGCCGCATAAAATGCTCTGAAAGGGTTTTACTGAATTAATCTGCATTTGAGTTCTGGAAGAAAATTGGTCTGCGCAGTGGAAAAATGTGAACTTCCGTGCTCCCGTTGAATATGATCCTAACAAGATCTGGAGCTTCCAGAAAGCATCCTGGGAAAGGGCCTCACTACCACAAGGTAAATGGGAGAAGAATGATTTTCAGACCCTGCACTGTCTTTAATCCCATTCACGGAGCTTCAGAAATTGGTGTGTATGACAGACTGGAATATATGATTTTGTCCGAGTAAGTATAAATGAAATATTTCTTACCACTCTGACATTAAATCTAGTGTTTGCTACCGGGAAAACACTCTTTCTCCTTTTAGCAACATCACGAGTTCAAGTCTGGAAAGGACAGTGATTAGTGTTTTAAAACTGCTAATAAAACTAAGGGAAAGCAATCTGTACATAGGAGTTTATTTAGATGCCCACAAGTTTTAAATCATTCCCCTTTATATCTCAGCCCACTGGATATCCCATCCAACTGAATTACCATTGGGTTTTACAATGTGATATACAAAATGAGCTGACATTATGATTTACAAACATCCTTTGAGTATCATATAAAACACAACTGTTTCCCTTATTATACAATCATTAGGGCAATGCAAATATAGTCAATACATTAGTAGCTGAAAATGATGGGGCATTTTAAGAAAATAAGTTTAACTTTACCACACAAACCTGTTAGGTAAAACAAATCCTGTTTAAAAAATGGGAATAAAGTTGTCTGAATGATTGCAAGTAACTTTTATATTGTTTTGCCACTGTCCTCTTATAAGAAACATAATATTACTTCATTTAAAAGACGACTAATTTTTTCACTGTATAGTCACACTTCATTCTTACTAATCAGTTTCACATTTGCTGCATGAAACTAGGCAAAACTCACAAATGTAGACTTTCCAAACTGTAGCCACTATACTTACTTCTGCACTCTTTTCCATATACTCAGTGTGTTTAATTAAATGAACAAAAAGCAAAAAACACTACACAAATGAGCAGAACAAAACACAACAGCACGTTAAAAAGGTGACATTTAAGCTGTAGATGCCATCGTTGTAGAAATATATTCCTGTTCTAATGCCACAAACTTTCTAGCCTCATGAAAAAACCAGACATCAGCTGAAGAGAATCTAAACTCTAACCTCGATATAGGGCTAAGAGTTTTAATTTGTATTTCTGTCAAAATTAAGGTAACTAAACAACACTGTGTGCGTGGTAAATTTAAAACTAAATTTTTCTGAATGTTATAAAATACAAAAAGAGAAAATCTGTATCTGAGCTGTTAATTGGGTAATGAAAGTTACCAAGTGTTAAGGTCTCCTGTCCCGCATGTTGCTGGTACAGGTGCTTCTGCACTTTGTCATTATGGTGGCAGTAACTGAGAATGGCAGACATCATTATTACTGCAAATACAAAAAAGGAAAAATTCTGAATCATCAATGACGCTATAATTGAAAGCAAATTCTAACCTAGTCCATTTAAATTATATCATCTTAAGGCTCTCTGACTGTTTTATCACTGCACAACTCAGGTAATCATACCCTTTTCCAGCACTTGCAGTTTCTCTTGCAAAACAGAATACTGATAATGACCGGTGATTCTTTCCTGAATATGTGTTGAACTGGCGGTGGAATGTGTTTTTAATTCCATTTCTCACTACAGGAGTCTTGCTGCTGCTCCGCATGTTTGGAGAAGAAAGTGCTTTTTTTGCCATTTCATTAAGTTCATGGCATTTAATTTTATAAATTTTTAAGACAGACTTATTCTGATTACTTCCATTCTGTCCAATCAAATATACCTTTGAATGTTTTAAAATGTTGGACAGCTGTGAAATATAAGTACTATGCAATTTGACTGTACATACATACATATTTTCATAAATACATCTGACAGGGACCTTGGAACTAAGTGTGTGATATCATGGGACAAAATCACAACAGGCTGTCTTATTTGTAAAATCTAGATCTAAAGTAAGAAGAGCTGAATTCTATCATGTGGCCAATACACAAATTAAAACAAAAATACAGCATTAGATTACCCATGAAATAATTTAAACGTATTTGCAAATGTCTTGACAGGAGAAGTGTGTAATTTACAACACTGAAAACTTTTAACAACCACTGACTTATATGCGCTGTACTGTAAGTCACCCGGACAAGGCTAGCAAGGATGAGCGTAGTGATAGGTCCCAAAGGCAACTCCCAAACATCTTCCTCATGCGGAGACTTTGGTAATTGTCTGTTGTATAAAACGCCAACGCATACGACTTCGTTTCAGGTGTTAACTTCATCCGTTTTCCTCCCTCGGCACAGTCCAGTCTGACTACGTCAGTTATTGTTGAGACACTCTAAATCCACCGAGCAGCAGACGTTCCCATTCTGCACAGACAAACAAGCAGGTGTCAATCACCTCCGCAGAACAAGTTACAAAGAGCAAAGGGGTTGGTGGCACGCAGAGGTAGATGCATCTCTGACACATCTACTGCGTACAAAAATCTGCTTAAGCCATCATCCCAAGGTGTCCTCATCGGTCCCAACTGTGGTGGCTTTCTGAGGAGGTTGGCTTTGCCAAATAGCACTGAATTGGCCTGAACTACACGTGAACTACAAACCTGGATGTGAAAGACTCAGTGGTCCCCATAATAAAATACAGCACAGCAATGGCAACAAAGATGATTTGATTTGTTTTCTCCCGTGCAAGAAAGTTAATGGAGAGAGTTTTGATGCGATCCATGCAGGGAAGCTTTCTGTTCGTCTGAAATAAGCAGATAGTTCAGATTCTTGATTCGTGGCAGATATGTATGGGGGGAAAAAAAACCCAAAAAACCATACGGCTTTGGAGTTTAATCCACTGTTAAATACCTTTCTGCAACATCCAGTCATTTACAAACTATCTTATGTATTAAAAACTACAGCAACCACCAGAACCCCAAATGAGCAATTTTTTTCCTTTTTTTTAAATCCAGCACAAACCAATAGGAAAAAGCTACCTTCAATAATTTAAAGCCCTGGAGCAACAGCTTGGTTTCCCACAGTAAACGAGAACATTTTATATATCCCAAACCAACATTTTCATAATTCTGATATTAGCACACAGTGGGGTCACCACTGCATGGAACAGGGGAGGACAGACTGCATTTCTGCATTAGAGCCATTGGACCAAACACATCTGGATGAGATCAGGGAACAGAAACTGTGACATTCCCTTCCCGCTTCTATTGTGGGAGTGCCTTCATCCCTCAGCTGGAGCGCATTTCTACTTGTATACTTGCTGCTGAAACTTTTATTAGTGCTTTTGCCTCTGCTTACTAGCTCTAAAACACATTTTCATGAACATCCACATTAGACAATTATTAAAATATTAGCCTAGATTCATACTGAGAATGCCTGAAGGGCTCTCCGACATAATGTCTGAAAGTTGCACTAGGATATTACATATCTGCACTCAACATTTTCAACAAGCACAGAATTGTTTTGTTTCCACCCTGCAAAACACAAAAGGCGTGGGTTTTCTGTAGGCTTCTGCTCTCGGGTCTCATTTACTTCCCCGAGATCTGAAAGTGAGCTTTCAAGGGCAGAAAGTGACCCTGACTTTATGCAGCAACAAACATTTCCATTACCATTCTACCTTGCCCATCGTACCTTGCATTTGCAGGTTGTACAAGGAGATCCCACCATTGTCCATACAGCGCCGCTAAGTCTTGTAATTCCATAACCATCTAGACAGGTTTTCCTGATGTCGTAGGCGATGTTGTCAGCCAGACAGGGGTCACTGACACAGTGGGGACAGCACTCTCCTTCTGAGATGGCTGTGTACTCACAGTTTAGATTCGGGCACAGAAGAGGCCAACAATCCACCTCTCCTTCCTGTAAAAATTGAAGCAAAGCTCATTGAATTTGTCGCCATTTGTTAGCTACCAAGAAACTTGGCATCCTGTTGAATGGAAAAGTTTTATTTTCCCAAAATTGAAATAAACTTAATGGATCAGCTCTCAGTTTGGTTGATCATATAAATGCATGCTTGAATACCGAGCTGAAGTTTCCTAAATGTAGCAGAATATCATTTGGTTGTTTCTTGACTAAACAACAACACTGTCATAGTCATTAGAGCAGAATTTGAGTTCTTTCGGTTTTTTAAAGGCAGCATTAAATATTGGGTTCTAGTATTTTCCATAAACTATAATTTTTGCAGTGATCGCCTTGCAGACTCATGCCCTCTCTCTTTGTCTGGTCACATAAACATCTCTGCGGGATCACAGCAACTGTTTAAATAGAAAATTAACACTGCAGATAGACGTAGGTTAGTATGTTTGAGAAGCATTGAACATCGATCTAACATAGCAACAGCCAAAATCGATTTTACCGTCAACTCCTAAAGGAATTGTTAGAGCAACACCAGTTATGGTCCGCTGAGTAATTTTATTTTAGTATTTAACTTTGTAACAAAAGCAGTTTAGTAGATAGAAAGACGGAGAAGAGAGAATCATCAGGTCGCTTCTGCAGGATCCATGTGTCTAAACTTAACCTGCAAAGGGCTCCAATAACTTGCATTATGCTACTCTGTAAGCACTTCAGATGTTGGTAACATCACACACTGCACAGAACCTTACATGTAGCGCTGAGTCAGTGCATCACTGTCTTTTAGCTCTGTATGTTTATCAACCCAATCATAAAATTAGGCAAGGAACTGCTGCCACAAACTCGGTATCCCTTGTAAAACACGTGACATCCAGTATTTGCCATTGCTGCTAGCTGCAAAGGTTTCTTGCTGTTCTTTTGCAAACATTTAAAAAAAAAAATCTTAGGAGAATATAAAACACAATACTTAACTGCTGTACATTATGGATAATTATCTCTTTATAGTAACTTAGCTTTGAATGTAATTTGTTTCCTGATGCTCAGACACCTCTTGATTAATATAATATATAAAGACAATGTTATACAGACAGCTATAAATGGAAAACTGATACTTTTAATGAAGTTCACTGCTGCACTAATTAGTGTATCTGTGCAAGAATTACAGCTTTAGGGAAATAATCTACAGTGCCTAATGAGGAAAGAAATACTCTTTATTTTGCATGTTTGTCTAGTAATTTCAGTTTTCTCTCTCCTACTTTTTTTGGTTAAGTTTTGCTAATTCACCATGTGGCCCTGGCACTCCATTTTTCCAGCATTTGCTGAATGAAAAAAAAAGAATTGCATTGTCCATTTTGATAAGACAGGTACACCAGCTGATGTAATTAAAAGCTGAAACTCCTCCAACCAAATCCATCGCATGTGAAAAAAACTTTAAAAAGTCATTTAAAGATCAGACGACCTTATAAAAGTTCTCAAAAGTAGACTAATGCTAAAGTTAATATAGCGTCAAGGTTTCCAGGCTTTTGTCAAGCTTTTCATTTTGTTCATTAGACCTACTTATTCAGCAGTAAGAGGAAAACTGATGGTGTAGCTTTCAGTTCCCTGGTGCTCTGCAAGTGCTTTATCATCATTCCCAGCCTGAAAAGCAGGTGAAGAGAGAGCCAAGAGCCTGCTTCCAGGCATGCTTTGCTAAAAATCATAATCTTTATTATTCTTGCTCCCTTCCGAAACGCTTTACCCATATGTCGTGGACACCATACCAGGCAACGGCACTGCTGACAGCTGTAGGTCCAGTTGTCCCCACTGCGGTAGAGCTTGTGCCCAGTTTGGTCGAGGCACTGGCTGGTGACACGGGTGTCACACTCCGGGCAGCAGAAGAGATCAGCGCTGGGGTTCTCGCAGTCACAGGCTGTCCTCCGGCAGAAAATCCTCCCGTCCTGCGAGGACACATTGCCCTGCCGTCAACCACAAACTGCCAGACAGCAACCCGGATAAGGTCACAGGGTCTCTATACCAAAGGGCACGTCTTTGGCATATCAGGAAATACTAAGTTCTTAATGTATTCGATGTTACCGCCAACAAGGACTGGATCCTGCCAGTTGTAATACCTCAAATACCAGTTTTGTCCCAATTTCTGTCAGTGCATGGATCCAATGCTGTTTGAATCTGAGAATACTGTTTTCCTGTCTCCAGCTAATTGAATTTAAAAGAAATGAGTATCTCAGAAGAAATATAATGAAGCAATTTCATATCTCATTGGTTACATCAACGAACTCTTCAAGCAGTTGCCGCTCTAATACATACAATATTTGTTTAGCATTACTTTGACTGACTGTATCACTGTGAAGAAAATAACTTGAATAGATAAATTGAAGTTAAGAAGGTGGTCCCTTTAACTTCATAGGAGAACAATATAGCAAAATCACAGCGGCACTAATCATTCTTTACTCTGAATTCACCACTGGTTCTGTTCCACATCTGGACCTACAGGACACCATCTTAAAGCTAAATGGACTTACCATCATCCATTATAGTTCTGTTCATGTATTAAAGAGAGCCTGTGGAATACAGGCTCTCAAAATATGATTTTGCTAAATATTTGCTTACAGTATTGGATGGCTCATTTTGTTAAAGACCATTAAACAGAAATGTTTGAGATAAACAGAAGAATTGCTTCTGCCTGTAGAGAGAAAAGGATATATTCTCTGCATCAGAGAAAACCAAATTGATTCTAATTCTAGTTATGAAAATTGGACAGACTATCATGTTTGAAATTATACCCCTTACTGTAGGTGAGCCAACATACTGATACACCACGCGTAGACTGGGAACTGAAATCACAGTTAACAATGAGGAGATTATTGAAAAATTTTAACATGAACTTATTTTGCATTCAGCGCTAGTTCTTGGATTAGTCCTTGATCAAGCAAAGCGTCCCCTGCAGCCAATTTGAAGGTAGAGCTGTGAGAGGAATGAAGCTATATTCTGCTTTGGATCACAACTGTACAATCCCTAAAACAACTCCACTCTTTTCATTGCAGTTTTTCCATATTCTCATCAGAACCTTGTTCTGAGTCTATAAACCTGTATCTGATGTAAGAAGGAAAAGTTTTTTTCATTGCCACCAAATAAAGGGATACCTATCAAAGCAAGGGAATTTATTTCCTCTTGATCCTTTTAAAAAGTGATTACTAAAAAGAGTGACAGCAGCCCGGGATTCCTCTGCCACAGGCAGACAACGTAGCCATAACCACAGCATGTAGCATGGGAGGTTGTTTTGTTTATGTTTTGATGTAGGAATCTGCGTTTGGCTCTTGTTTTTAAGCAAAGCCAATCTTGGCCACAATGCAACATTTACAAAATCAGCATCAGGGAATCACGATACCCCTGTCAGTCGGTGTCACTGCTGCATTTCTTCATAGTTTTGAATTGATTAGAATATTACTTTCTGTTGTAAGAATAATTAAAATGATTTCTTATGCCTAACAAGGAAAGCTGAAGAGAACACAGAATTACGGAAATGTAGGAAACATGCTAGGTTAACATGGATCTGAACTACTTTTGCCAACCACGGGGCATAGGACTAGATTGCCCTACAGTCTTTATTCAGTTTTGTATCAAATTAAGATAACTAAGGATTCTGTACTTGTCGCTAGTTTGCTGCTTTAGGTGTGGGAGAAGGAATAAACAAGCTTTCTTTCCTTACTCAGCCATCTGAGTAAGTCATAAGCTAAGGAAGACTGGCAGTGGCCCGTTTCCTTAGCCACAGGTTCGGCCGGGTCCAGATGCAATGCCAGGAATAAACCCTTTCCACAAAAAACAAAGAAAGAAGTCATCTTCCCCTTTCAGCAAGTGGTGAAAGAAGAGAGCCGAAAGCCTTCCCTGACGGAGAGTTATGACTAAATCTCCATTCTTGCAGGTGGGAAAGCACAACCATCTTTCCACCCCTTGCTGAGGGTAGACATCAAGCAGCAGCTCAGCACAAAAGCTCTGCCAGGCTGACTAGCTCCAGGCACATGGGGTCGCACCAGGCGTCCAGGCAACCCAATGCCCTCGACAATGGCAGTCTCTCTCCTCTCCATAATGGAGTGATGATTAATAATGGCTAACAATAACCTGTCTGCTTAGTTCCAATTCAGTTTCCAAGCTTTCAAGATTAGTTTTCAAATTCCCCTTTCAGCTGGTGACAGCGCTGGTAGTTCTGTGCTCCTCTGAATTCCCGTGCCGTTACCTCTGGGGAGCAGCTAACCTTTTACGTTGCCTTTACTCTCTGTATTTTAGAACACTGACAAAGCCTGATGATTTTGCCAGAGACCTTTTGGTAATCGTAATACACTGCTACTCTCTTTATTCTTTGAGCGTCTGTGTTTTATCTACAACCTCATTAGTTCCATGCCTTTCAAAAAACATTTTTATCCCTATACTGCAGTGACACAAAGCCTCTTAAGCTACATCATCTCACTTGCATCTTTGCAGCTCTATAGGAGCATTGAGAAATATAGAGAAAATTGAGAAATATGTAGAAAGCAACTTATTTTCTTTCAGTGGGTAATAACATGTAGCATCTTATCAGTATCTCTCCCTCCCCATGTTCCTCACTGAATCAGTTCTACATGCTTCATAAGCATCAGTGGTAGGAACACAAAATTGTTCTTTACCAAAGGAAAAACTGACACACAAGGGAATCACTGTAAAGCGTGACTCAAGTTTTCACAGAGCCCCAAAGCCAATTTGGACAGAAATCAGACCCTGCAGAAACCAAACCACCAAACAGTTCTCGCCATCAGGAACACGCTTCACCTTGGCACATCCCCCTGTTCCTAGTGCTGTGCTTATCCCCCAGGCTTTTTTCGTACAGGGAATGGAGGGTTGTCTTATAAGAGGACAGACTCAAAAGCCCAGATATAGCCAGACTGTACAGCCAGGCTTAGTTTTTTCATGGGAGAGAGGAACAGCTCCCCACCTCCCATCAAACTTCTACCAGTCTTGTGTATTAAATCCACAAGAGTTCAGGAAGATGCCTGTAGAAGACACATCAAATATACTTAAGGTACTATATTAATTTATAGTTTTGAGAATGTATGTTTTTGTAAACTTTATATTCATTCAGATGAACGAGGATGGTTTGAAAAGACTGGGCCTGATGACACACTGAAATAACCCCCTGTGCTTCAATAATGACACTTTGCTTCATTATATAACTGAAGTAATATAATTTCTCATATTCCATAGTATCCTACTCCACAAATAACCTTAACTTCAAAGTTAAGTAAGGTATTTAATTTCTTTTGCACCAGATTTTAAGTTAAAATATTTTCAAGATGGGATCTATGTGTTTTAGCCACTGCACAAAATACACCCACCTGATCTTTTCATAAAAAATCTGAAATGCTGATTTGTCTCCTAGATAAAACAAATGAGTAGGATCATTTCAAAGTTCGAGTAAAAAGTATAGGGAATGATTTAGTTACACTCTGCCCTTTTCCTCACTGAAAACTGAGCAGGCTGCAAAAAGGTCGAGTAGGGCCAGCTCTCCGTGCAACTGCATGAAAAGGAGAGAGTCCTGCAGCAGGTTTGAGAAGTAGTCTGGTGCAACCTGATTTAGTTGAAGATGTCCCTGCCCACGGCAGGGGGGTTGGACTAGATGACCTTTAGAGGTCCCTTCCAACCCAAACTATTCTATGATTGGAAGCTATCACGATTTATAAAAATGTTTTAATAACATATTTCAACAAACACTGAGTGAAGACTTTACGTCCTGCCTGGGATACGATAGAGGAGGAGCTCTCCCTGTTTTTCCTGTTCTATAGACAAGAATTTGTCTCTTGAAACAAGGCAGCTACTGGAGTGAAATTAAATGCAAATGTTAATTCACAGAGGAAAAAACTGTGAAGTGAGGAAGATATAAAGGAAGAGTCATAGCTACAAACAGTGCCAGGCTTAGTTTAAAATATCTATGTACTAGTTAATCATTTTGTGTATTTTCATATACTAATAAGAACATTCAACATAAGAAATAAGTGCAATGAGAAATGGCAAATAAAACAAATTACAAGCAATCTAAAAATGGGAATACTAATAGTTATAATTCTGCAAAGGCAGACCAGATGTCTTCACATATATTAAACTGTTTATGCTGTTGACTGGAAATCCTTTCATAAGCCAGCCAGTTCCCCAAGATTACAATAAAAGCTTGATATATATATTCAGTGGAGTTGTACACTCAGCTTCTACAGGAAGGCGTTTTGGGGAGCTTGAGTCTACTTGAAGTAAAAAATGTAGCAACTAACAAGAACATATTCCCTTTCAAGCCCAAAACAGCAGTGTACTTTGCGGGTTCTATTCACTCTAAAGTCTTGATTTTCCCTTCTGCTATACTATTGCAATACAGAAATGATCACGCTTTCAGCTTCTTGCAACTTCAAAACAACTCTTCCCCCTTGTCCCTCCCAAATCCTTTAATGCTTCTTTGGCTCACCAGCATTAAGACATGGGGACTGATAGGCCACTTCTCATGCTCTGTGTTCAGCTTTTCACAGTGGTCAAAATCTCATTTTACTTAGACTTATGCAAGGGCCAATAATGTTCTGCTGTGTCTAAGGACAGCTTTACCAGTGCTATGAACGCATCAGGTCAAAGCGGCCGTAAAAGACCAACCATTTCTCAGATTGGTGCATTTCTAAAATTCTTCTCATTTCAATGACAACATTCCTCTTTTAACTAGTGAAAATGAGGCAAGCAGAGTCAAATGTTCTTTTGACTTGGTTACCACATTCAGAAAAGAACTGATAATTTCCAGGGGGGAAAAAAAACCAAAAACTGATCTAAGTGTTAATTCTAAAGTAGATCTACTTATACTACGCCTGGCTTCTCCAAAGGTGCAGAGAGCTGCACTGCTCAAGTGGGAGAGCTGCCAACACAGCCAGTCTGGGATGAGGAGGAGAAAGCTGGCCTTCACCCTTCCTCACTTGAGGAAATTAAGTGCCTGCTGCAACTTTGACCCATGCTCAGGCCTTCCTTCTCACCCAGTTAATTCACGTGTATTCCAAGTAAAGGGAAACACCATCAACAGGAAGATGGTTGACAGCAGCACCTGTCCTGAGAGATGCATATTCATGTGAAACAGAAATTGAAAAGAGTTTTCAACATTTCTAGTAAGCGTCCTGATCGCCTGCACAATCCGTTAAAGGGTAATGCAAGACCCTCAATCAAGGCACGCTACGAGTGGCTCTGGCCCACGGGGTGACACGGTAGAAGCCCAGCAGGATTAGCCATTATTCAGCTGTGTCTGTGGTTGTGCAAAATAAAGAAAAAAGGCAACTTCCCAGAAGAATTTCCCCACCACAGCTTCAGCGCCCACAGCAGAGCTTACCTTTTGCCTCAACCCTTTGGGCTTAAGCTAGTATTTTTGCCAATGCCAGTGGCAGTGCAATATTGGGTTTCTGACATGAGCCCAGAGAATTAAAGGACTCCTGAAACCCAGACGAGCTGGATCTCACCTTGCAGGAACAAACGGAGCATCTGTCCTCCCTCAGGGTCCACACCTGCCCGTTCCGCTTGAAGCCGCCTTCATGGGGACAGTCTCCAGTGCAAGATGGTCCGGACGGACAAAGGCAATCGAACCCTCCTGCCAGGTTCACACAGGCTGAATCGTTCCAACAGGTGTGGGTCTTTAAGGCACACTCATCGATATCTGCAAAACAGCAGATTTATAATGCTTTGGACAATTTTTTCACAGGGCAAGTTTTATTTCTGTATTAAGTAATTATTGCTCATCTGCCTTTCTGGTGGAAGAGGGTGCCTTCTTTCTGCTATCTTCCATGTTTACTTGCTAGGCATTAAACACTGATTTTTTTTTTTTAGGTTATTCTTCAGTGTTTGTTTTGATTTCACCATAAATTCTTAAACTATCTCCAGCAGGCGTAATTGTAAATGCTGAGACTGACATACCTAGTGGAACTGTGTATCAATGATGAATCTGAACCTTCAGACAAGGGTGTATAGTGATTTCCCACTGACTGGAAACTAGCGAACAATCAGAGTGACTTTCTGTCAATTAGACCACTCTCAGTTCTGGATTTTACACCAAAATAGAAGTGCACTATTCTTCATAAGTTCCTAGCATGATCAACATTTCCCCGTACTAAAATCAGTCGGTTGCATCCTTTTCCCATTGCTAGAAGGTATAAGTGAATTGCAAAAAAAAAAAAAGGGGAAAAAAAGAAAAAAAGAAAAAAGAAAAGGAAATACAGACAGACATCAGAGGCACCTTATACAGGAAAAAAGTCTTAGAACAAAGCTACACAGGAAAAGTATGATTTAGCAATGACACAAAGAAATAAGTAACAAAAGAAAATCATTATACACTAGAGAAAAGTGAATTACAGTATCCCATTAAAATTGCTTTTGGAAGGTAAAATATAATTATGCTATATGAATTTATCTAGGGATTCTTTTTCTTGCAGCAAAAGCCATGAGATTTTTAAGTACATTGTGAAAAACAGGTATTTCTTTGGACTGTTCGTAAACAACATATTGACAGATTGTCCAGATAAAATACCAGTAAACTGGTGGGTGTCCCTTGTTCCAACACGAACAATGAAGACTGTAAGCAACAGCAGGAGGAAGGCTGGTTTTGAAGTACGTGATGGTTTCTATCACGAAAATTCCAGAACACTATTATATTAATTCAGAAATTACAAGGAAGACTCTCACACTCACCATTTAAAATTACCTAATTGCTAGTGTGAAATTTATAACTGTTCAATATTACTCAAGAGTACTTTGAATTCCTTTCTAAAACAACAAATTTAAAAATTCAATAGAATTTACACAGAAAATTACCTAAAGTCTAATTTAGGTGGGATGTGATGGCCCTACTTTTTGGACGACTGCTATGAGTTCCCAAGTCATCTCCTCAGAAAACCAGAACTTTAAAAAATGTTAAAAATTCTCTCAATCTGCTGAAGGAAACTCTCTGTAACAACCAAATCACTAGATTCCCTCTGACCTGGTTAGTAAAATCCCTGATTTCAGGAATTGATTTCAAGTCATAAATAGTCCAGGAACAAGTGGAAATGTGGTAGTGCCCTTGGATTCGATCAAATGCAAAATCAGCCTGCACAACTGAGTCAGGGGCCTGGGCCGCCAGAAAATGGCTGTTCCTCTTTCTGCTTAAAAAAGAGAAGCTGGAGGCAATTACTCTGCAGAAGGGCTTCCCTCCTGGGCTAACCTGTGGGCCAGTCCTTTGTCAGAGATGTTCCCAGTGGCCTGATAGCACGATTCGATTGCTCGTCGGTCAGACTTCCCTAAAAATGGTGTGTTTTGCTCCCCTGACAGTCTTAATTGCCAAAAAATAACATTATTGCTCTAATGCATACCTTAGCACTACTGAGTACTCGAAAGGTCCACTACCAGTGGTGTAAAAGGTGCTGCACTAAGAGAAATTAAAACTTGTAGTTCATTGTTTAACAACTGCCAGAGTATCAGAGGAGGTAAAAACCATGAAGAGTGACATGAAGAGAGCTACGAATGAACTGGTATGAAAATGAATTATACCCAAACAGCTACTGCAAGACTTAAAGTATTCTTAAAAATACACTATTTTCCTTTCAATAGAGTTTGACTTGTATTTTATGTTGAAGACAAAGGTATAAATGAAGCATTCGCTTTGTCTGGTGATTTCACCAAGTATCCCCAATATTCTCTTCCCCACCATATTAAGGGCTCCTTGAATAGCATATATATAGGATGTAGCAGGATCACAGTGCAGGTTAGAAGGGTAGCTTTCACAGTTCAAAACTAAAAGGATTTCACAGATTAATATAAAGCCATATTGCCTACAGAGTTCCATGTAATTGCTTTACTTATGACACAGAAATCTAATTCTGTTTCCATGTAATTTAACAGATTTATGGAAAGCCAGATGTTAGCAATTATAGAAACTAACATTATTCATATTCTCAATAGTACAGACCTGTTCACACTGCACAAAGCCAACTTAATCTGTTATACATATCCAAAAGGGAAGAACACCTTATTTACGTACTGCTACTGCTGTTCTCCGTTTAGCACACATAAAAAGGATGCTCCCGTTAGGAGCAGCCCAAACTGGTAAATGGGACTTCTTGACAAAGAAACCAATCAAGCAAAACTGAGTAACATAGCATGAACATAAACTCCTAATTGCTACTCAGTTTGCTCATTTTTTTCGTTCTTTATGCAAATGATGGTTTCTTATTATTTTATGGCATTTATTATTTAAAAGTTTTAGTCATTAATCAAATATAAAAGGCTTGGACACTGCACTCATTTCCAGCTGAACTTTTAATAGAGCTAATTTTCTGAGAACATCCCTTTGGCAGTTTTTTCTTGTCGCTGATTGTATTTCTAAAAGTCAGAACAAACAGCCAGCGTTCCCAGTAACTTGAGGAAAAGAAGTTATAAGCGTAACATGTTTTTGTCCCTTTCACTCTTTCAGGCTCAAACCAGATTGGGGGGTGGGGAAGGAAAAAAACCCAGACAAATTCTCCCATATCGTTAGCTCAAGAAAGTATTTCGGTTTAATGGAGATCAAATGGACTTGCTCATATTGAGATGAGATCAGCATGTAGGTGGCTACGCAAAACATGGAAGAAAGTACCCATATTTAGTGTGAAATTTCTCTCAACTACAGGAATCAATGTGTCTACTTAGGTGTTGAAAAACTAGCCTAGTTTAAAATTCTGAACATGCCCAAAACAATCTTCTAATGAATATGAAAATTGTATGATAAGACTCTTGCATATAGATTATTTTTATATTATTCAAATCCTTGCTCAGCTCAAATTCCCCACACCCTCCTCAGGTTTCATTTGCTTTTCCACAACTGCTCTCAGAGATGCGGGCCCCAAGCTGGAACATTTAATGATGGGCAAAGCAAAACTGTACACAAATCTTATTTCCCATTATAACAACACTAGGTAGGAAGAAGATGAAATATTCATTTATAAGTCAAGCAAGTTTTAAGAACAATGGCCAAGTACATATGTGAAATAGCAAGGAGACTCCATAGTCTTTCCCTATGTTTAACACAAGAACAAGATGTCTGTCTGGACTTTTGGGGGGATTAGTTCTTTCATGCATCCTGTTAACCTGTGAAAGCAATCTCATTTTCACACCTGGAATAGGACTTTGCAATCTTATTCATTATATTGAGATAATCTGTGGTATAAACTACTAATTAACCCAAGTAAAAGTGACAGAGCTTTACTTCCCCGCTCCACACAGTTCCTTTTCAAGGAAAAGTGGGGATATAGTGGAAATGACCATAATCAGACACTTGCTTGTAATGCTAGCCTTATGATATTTTCTATCAACAACATATAGCCAACAGCAAAGCGACTGTTGCTGAGACATGCCACCTCAAACATTGCACAGGACTATCATAAAACTGATCAAGGTCTTCACTCTTCAAACGCTCCCAATCTGTGCTTCTTTAAACAAATGTATGGCAACAAGTACCTAATCATATGTATTTTAGCCGCAATGCAACTAGTCACATTTTGTGGATGGGAAAAGAAAGCAAGCAAACCATCCAAGACATGCTCATTTCCCACTATACTCTCAAAGTACATAAAGATAGCTTGGTAACGTGGGCAGACAAGAAATCAGAATCAAAATGGAACAGAATAATCCCCTGAGATACAATTTCCTTTTCCATCCTTTTTGGCTGTAATGAGAAGTAATTTGCCTCAGATATTATGAGAGGTCCCATGGCCACTGTATTTGAATGGGGTAGAAGACAAGCATGACTGTACATATCAACACAAGTTCATTAACTTGGTTTCACTGAAATTTTAAACCAATCCCTAGCTACTTCATTTCTTAGTTTTCAAGGCTATTCAGGTTTTAATGGTATGACTTTTCTATAGCACCTTAATAAATGTGTGCAAGCAAGTCGTGCAGTGTGGTGCTCTGTAATATCATGATAAGCTGTTGCAGAAGAAAGAACCCTACTAATGTGCTAATTTTAACTGTTATGGTACATTAAACCATTACAGTATAATGTTAACGTGAAAAATGTATGCTGGGCTCCCAAACCAATGTATGTACAAGTTAACTAAACACTGTTTTGACATATCATTTTTCACAGGCAACTTGTCACTTAATGTATTCACCTTTTTTCTAACTCAAAGAAAGTGATTTGGACTCATCTTTGAAAAAAAAAATTTAAAAAATCACTAAACAGATTCATTTTTAGTTAGAAAATATTTTATGATAGTACTTTTACTCTATAGAGACGTAATGGCATTAAAGAACATTGCATAGTAAATCAGATTCTGAATACAGGAATTATTAATGCTTTCTAGAAATACAGAAATGACTAAACACAATTACCTTGAAGACGTGTAACAAAACTTTCTCTCAGAATACAAGAATCAGAATTTACTAAATGGAAAGTAAGCAAGATAATTTTTATTTTGCAGGATAAAATCCACAGACAGAGACTGATATTATAAGCTTTAAGAAATTCTATGAGCAGAACAGAAGAAAGTTGTAAAACGGCAGGTTCTAGAGTTGGTCTTGGATACTCTGTACCATACACAAACCTTTCTGTCTAAGTACCACTTCCCTAACAATAGATAGAAAAGCAATTCTCAGGCATATAGGAAGATTTTCAAAGGATGGGTCTAGCTTCTTGTTTGACACAGAAAGGGGGCAAAATAAACAAAGAACAAACCCCCTTTCCTCTTACTTTCTAATCTAGGTAACAGACAACACTGCAGCATACTACGGAGTATATGAAAGCTTCAGGAATTGATTTTAAACCCATTCAGACTTGACCCTCAAGCATTGCTGCACCCAACTTTTGTGGGAGCCTAACACGTGTGGAGTTTTCTCTCACAAGCTGCTGACTCCTACCTTTTTCCAGCTTTCATTTGCCCACAGCTACCCTAACCCCGCAGTGAGGTCTAGCTACGCAACCTTTCAGGATGAAATACGTGGTGAATCCTGTGGTTTTCTGGTAGGAGGAGGATCCGTGTTAAGCTTCCCTACAAACTTTGCACTGATTCTTAAAGAAAATTAAAAAATCAACAACTGACAGGGACTGCTGCCTTGGTTGTTCTTCCTTCTGTGCTTGCAAGTCACAATGTAGAGACCCAGAAACACGAAACGTCGTGAAAAAAATGGAATCAGGAACTCTGCACTCCAGGGTCTGAACAGCTCTCTACAGAACGGAAGCATCTCACTTAAAGAGAGATGGAGATTAGAAAGTATAATTTAATTTGCTTTTATTTTTCAGTTGTAGATAGGAGCGAGCTTTGTGGGATGCTATTAACTTCCCAGAATACAGCATTTCTTTGCCAGTTTTTCCCTTCTTTTGGTTCTGATAATCTTAAAGGTTATCACTGAAAATTCAGTGGTGAGGGTTTATTCAATGATTACCTTATGAGGTAGCAGTATTTGGCAACAGGTACTTGGTGCAGGGGAAAAAACAATGTATGCCAGTTGCTTCAATGTGGTATCAGTAGAAAGTAGTTAATACCGGGGTATGTATCATATGACAACTCATACTTCTCTATGAAGTATTTTTGTTTGTTTACCTTAAAGTGTAGCAAAGCTCCTATTAAAAAAAGGAAAAAAAAACCAACCTAGCAACTATAGCCTACATGTTTTAATTGCCAAGCAAACTTTGGTAGCCACTTAGTACAGCAGTTGTCTTTTGCCTGCAAGTAGTATTCTTAATAACATATAGTGAAAGGCCAGTGCGTCATAAAAACGCTACTGCTGGAAATTAAACTACATTCTCTTAATTTGAGCCTGCTCACCATCACCTTATGAAGCTGACATCTTGGATGTCCATGGAAATATATTCCCTTTTCAAAGCTGCCTTTGGCTGATATTTTGAGCAATAAAAGAATTTTCCCAAGCTTGAAGTGGCCTGGCTAAATCATACACCCTTATTACCCAAGCTCTGGTGCAATATGATGACCTTCCCTGCCACATCCATTGATTTACACATTTGTCCCTTGCCAGGTGACAAACTCACCTGTTTTCTCATAGTCAATGAGAATAAAGCTTTTAGAAGCACTGAGGTATCACAACGCTTCTCAAATAGATGTTATTTTTTTAAATGTTCTGCAAGCACTGCAGAGACACGGCAAGCAATGACTCAGCTCCAAGACCACCTACGTATAAATGGAGGGAAAGGGGGTAAACCAATAGATACACAAATGCATCCAGCAAAAGCAACCGGCTGCCTGGGCTTTGGGCAATCTGTCAGAGCTGAGTGCTCCCTCCCACTGCCTTATGATTTTTATATGTTATTATCATTGTTATTATTTTGTGGGGGAAGGTTTAATCTGTTTTTACTTGTGTTCTTAGCCTATTAATTGGTGTCCAAGTTTTGTCCTTCACAGACGAAGAAGAAACGTTTCAAAACATACTGAAGGGCAATGGCCCAAAGCCACCTCAGGTACACACTAGGATTTCAGTATACGGTCTGTAAAATATGCCAGGACAAAACGCTGTTGCAAAGCTGATGAACCTTCCTTTATCTGAAATAGAGGGAATGACTCTGGCCCTGACTCTAAATATTCCACCATGCAAACAAGCTCTGTAGAGTGATCAGTCAGTGTTCAAGAAACTGAGTTTTAGCTAGAATGTGTAGTGTTATCTCTCTGTCATTTCAACCAATTCTTTGTTGCACTTTAAAATAAACATCACAGTTCGAAATTGCTTTGTCAATATGGGTTAGCAGAATCTTTCAATTAATTTTTAATTGGTTAACCAGTATAATGAAATAAAATAAACTGGTTTGTTCTCTTCCTCACTGGTACCCTGCAGCAGATGGTTCAGAAAAGCTATTTAGTTAAAATAACCCCACTATTTCACATTCTGTTTACAACTTGCATATGGCAAGATGAGCACCTCACCTTACGACCTTCCAGCATGCTGCGCAGGTCAAAATAAGGGCAGTTTGTTTTCACGAAAACTCATCCCTTCAGTCTCCACAGAATACAGAACGTTTTGGGCTCCTTTTTGCTGTGAGGTAGCCAAGTGCCCTTCCTTTTAATAGCGATGCAATGCAGCAATACGGACCTTTTCAGCAACGGAGCCTAGCTATGGGCCATTCGAAACCACAGTCTTGCCTATGCACCTGCCTTCTCCTGAGACCAGCCTCAGCCTTAGATCTTCTTCGTCCCAAAACAGCTACGTCAGGTCAGCCTGGCAAGGGATGGGGTTCCCCACGCAAGCAGTACAGGCAGGCATCAGGAGTGCTACAAATGCCCCCTATCCCCAGTTGCCTCGGGGCTTTTTGAAGGTTTTTGTCACGTTGCTCTGACTTCTCACAAAGCAAGTATTTTCAACATCGCTCTCTCCGTCATTCCTTTTACAGTATTTAAAGAAACCAGAGGAGAACTCTTAACATTTGGGAATCTGTTTAGAAATACATGACTTTCACGTGGTGTTTTATTTATTAAGTCACGAAATGCTGTAAAATTTGCCTTTTTTTTTTCTTTTTTTTTTTAACCACAGCCACCGCAATGAAGTTCACTGCTGTGATTTTATTGAGCTCCCCGTCAGCTTAGGACAATGTGTAAAAAGCTAATGTAGCTGGACAATCTACAAAATATCGGTTTTGAAAATAATTATTGTTCCTCTGCATTTTTAAATCACAATGCTATCTTATCCCAAGGACTTCTAATAGCCAAAATTTGTAAAAGATCTTAGATAGAGCCCTTTGCACCTATGGACATAATAAAGGAAATTTACAGTGTTAAAAAAAAAAAGAGTCTTTTACAGAAGAAGCAGAAAAGCTTTTATGGAAAATTCATAGAACTGAGTAGAGATGAAATAACTGAAATTCCAAAGAAAGGATGTAGAACTATGAGAAGTTGATCTGTATCTCTGTAGAAGTTAAAATGGGATCCTTTCTAAATAGTTTTAAACTCATCTGATAAAACATCATATAGAAATTGTGTATAGGGCTTCTGAGGATAAGTAAAGAGGTGGAAAAATCGTAAGGCAGAGGTAAGCCACAATTACCATCTTCACTATGATTTTATTACTGCTTACTTGCTGTAGTGGCACACAAAGTCTTACAGCTGAGTCGAGGGCACCCAGATTGCAAGAACCAGCACTAAATCCTCATGGAGCCTCATCCTTTGTCCTCCCATAGAAACAACCGACAAACTCCCCTGCACCCTCTAAAAATTCCTCTCCATTCATGCTCTTAGGGCTTTATCCTGCAAATATGGTGCATACAGTGATTGATGCTGTTCGCATAATTCTAAAAATAAAATTATGAAGATGCCAAACAATGCAAAACAAACAAATCAAAGCAACACAGACATACCCCAAACGTGTTCTCATATTGCTCTGCTGAAATTTGAAAATGGAAAACCAGCTCTTCCCCTTTTGTGGCCTATTATGCTCCCCAGAAAGCCTACTTTTACTTCAGATTTTACAGCAACTTACTATGATAAATGGCAAAGCGCAGTAAGTCACACTTTGGCTCTCCGACTGCCTCCCTGCTGTAATAACCACTCAAAAATGTGACGCGTCTTGAACTAGCACCCACGCTACGTGACTGGGGATGCTGACAAACACAGACACGCTCGCTTGCATTCTCATTTTAGCCTTAAACACAGTAACTGCTCAGGACAGTGTCTCAATAGTCACTTTATAACACCATGCAGAAGGAGGAAAAAAAGCACTATGCTGATCATTGCTTACCAACACAGGACTCCCCGGAAAGAGAATAGCTTCCATTGTCATGGAAACCGCTTCTGCACTCACAGTGGTACCACCCTGGGAGGTTAACACAGCGTGAATGGTTGTGACACTCAATGATGCCCTCTGCACACTCATCAATATCTGCCTCAGAGAAAAACACAAGCCAGCCAGGAAATTAATTTCCTTTGACACCAATGCTTTGTTGTTTTTTTTTTTTAATGTTGTTGGGTGTTTTTGTTTGTTTTTTGTTTTTTAAAAATCTTCCTTTAATAGGTGGATCAAGGTTTATTATGGTTCCAAACAACAGACACTTAAAACATGACTCACATAACAGCAATAAAAAAGAACAATAACACATCACAGAATTTGATACATACAAGACATTTGTTTACACCACGATTTGTTTAAAATGCAAAGCAAACATGCGGATTTTTTTGTTATTTGTTTGGGTTTTTTAACTCAGCAGTTACATTTGTCTGTGCATATAAAGCATTGCAGAGCAGGTTCTCCACTGAAAAGGCAGTTTCAGCGATATCCCTGCTTTACAAACTGCATGTCCAGGACACCTTGGAAAGAAAAAGCATTTTCTTCAGGATTAGCGTTTCTAGGGTTCAGCTGTGATATTGGCAGCTATCTGGCACTTAAGGTGCTCAGAGCACTTGGCAAACAACAGTTAATCTCTTTTGTTTATATGATCAAAATAAATACCTACTGTATATATAACCGTGTGTGACAAACAGAAAAAGCAGTCCATGTTTCAGCTGCAATAAAACATTTAGCTGGAAAAGAGCGAGGCAAACGACAGCAAGTCTGTAGCAATGGAAAGGTACAGCAAGATGAATACCCTGCTGAGTTTCAATAAATGCGCTGGTTTTATAAAGGAGTTTTAAAAATTTCTGTAACATGGTTAATAGAGACCTTGTAATTGCTAGTAACCTTGGTTAATCGCGGCTGGCACCTGGCTGCTTCTCCCCTTTGAGCATTTTCCAGCACATTTTGTAGGGTTGTAATTAAAATTAGCAAATTAATTATATGTTAACCTTGCGGTAATTTAAGAAGCTATTATATTTTCAGTCCTCTGTTTCTCTCAAGCTTTTTTTTTTTTTTTTAATCTTGGACAGTTTTCAGCTGGGTACCTTATCAATTAAAATGAACCTCAAATTATTCACAAATATTAGCCATTTTCACCCACTGAGTTTTTTTCTTGGCAATCAGCACATTTAAAATATGCATAAAGTTGTGTACACCAAACACACAAATTTGGGGAAAACAGGTTTTGAAACTGCATTTAGTTCTGCAAGCAAAGTACAAATGTCTCATGATCCTGATGCAAGACTGAATTAAGGTTATTAAGTAACCACAGAGTGTAGCTTTTATCTCAATTTACAAAGTACATACACCAATATGGTTTCATGGACTGCAGTGGAGTCGTGCTGATGTACGTTGAAATCGATTTGAATGAAGTATCCTTCAATAGAATTCCATTTTCTTACATCTTACAAGCAGTACCATAGAAAAGTTCAATTTTTCCTCATTTAAGCAACAATATTTATTCTTGTTGAAATATGGCTGAGAAACCTAAACAAATGCCTTTTACCAGTTTTGTGTTCACCCTCGCTCAAGAAAGAAGCAAGCTATCTGCATAACAGGGTTATAACCAGTATTTATTTCTAGCTTTATTTGGCTTCCATCTAACAATAAAGTCTATTTTTTAATGCTTTAAAATCTGTCACTGCTGCCACCTTTTCTGTACTTTTTACTTTGTAGAAGCTAATTTCAGTGTTAAAACACTGCACAAATCTAGCTGTCCATCAACGATGAGTGCTGCTTGCAAATTCAGACACTTTCAATTCATTACAGCAAATGGAATTTATAACCATGATCTTTTCACATGTCATGGCTGATGGAACAAGTTTAATCCTATTTGGAAACTGAATGACTTTGCTATTGCAGGTCAATTGCAAATGAATCCTTCTTGCTTTCTTCTCTCCTAGTGTTGAATCAAGAGCGATCCTGTTGAAAGACTGCTTCCTCAGGTCAGTCCTGTACTGGACCTCTATCCATTCAATTTTACATTTTTAGTTTACAAGATCAATAGAGTTTTCCTAAAGTTAATTTCTAAACTTGAGCCCTTTTGAAAGTGTATTTGATTTAGGCTCACGGTGTAGGTTACTAATTGACTGGTGGATTACTTTTCAGAAAGCCTGTCTGCCAGGATACCAAAACTAAGCAGCAGTTTACTTAATGGAAGAAGAGGAGCATCAGTGTGAGAGTCTCTCTAGATTATGTCAGTAATACATGGAACTACTTCAAGACTAGATGACTTCATTGTGGCAGTACCACACATGTCTATAGCTTTGGTCCACTGACGTTTAGGGAGACACAAACCAACTTCTTAAACCGGCAGAGCTGGGAAAACAGGACTCTTTCAGTTGTAGAGGTTCTTCCTTTACTTCCTTGATCTCCTTACACCAGCGGAGTTACACCAGCACTGCCCTACCTACGCCAGGGACAGAGGGCAAGGGAAAAGGAGGTGCTGCACGGGCTGCTTTGGGAAAATCTGCCACGAAAAACGCCATTGATGCAGAAGCAACTAGTAAAAAAATCCTTCAAGCTCTGCTCCCTACCACTACATCCCTGCTCCCAGAGCCATTTCCAGCTCACGGGAGGTGCCCTGCTCCTCTCCTTTTCAGGTTAAACTCAGCACTCCTCCTCGCTCCTCAGCCCAACCGTCTCCTGCATGCGTGTGCGTATGCGTGTGCTGGAGATGGGCTGGGCTGACGGTGCGGGGAGGGGAATGGGGAAGCAACCCTTCCCATGCTTCTGCAGCAAGTTAGCATTCCTTCGGCAACACGTCATTAGCAGCACCATGTCATACAATATGCATGAGGAGTGGTATAAACAGGGAAAACCCATTAGCGGCTTCTCCATTTGTCTAATACATTGCAGTTTCTTATTTGCATGCTTAAAATGATGTACATAAAGAGCAAAAGGGGAGAAAATATGATTAGGTCTGTAAGCTTCTCCTGTGGTCTCGTGCATTATCTGTGGCAGATGTATAAACATATCTCTGCAGGTATAGGAAAATATTATGGATTTGTTTTAGAAATTCAGAATGATTTAAGATGCTCATAATACCAAGAGGAAACTGCAAACAACAGCTTTGTAAAATGGTGTATCATTTACCGTGACATTACTTAGTTCACCTAATAGATCATTTCCATCTGGACATACGATGGCTTTTGAAAACACCTTTTTGAGGACTTTTTCTGCATAGGAAGATGTTGCTATACAGAATGGCCAGTTCAGGGAATTAGAATCCATCCACCTTTCTTCATCTTTGCTTTTCCATCTTTAAATCCTAGCACCATATTTGCATACTCACCTCAGGATGAAAATCTTTCTATCAAAGCCTGGTTTGGGGTTTTGCTACAGAATTTGAGCTATACATGCATTATTTTTTTTTTGTATGTTTGTTTTCTGTGTGCAGATGCTTACCAGAATGTGCTATATACACTTTCTTCATAAAGTTATGTTAAAATGAAATGAAAGTGTATACCTCTGATCTGAGAGTGAAAACAGTACAAAAGTTATAATCATTCTTCAAAGGAGCACAGAAAAACCCAATCAGAAATTCTGTAACGACACAGGCCAGAGGAAACAACGGGTGGACATTTTTTGGCTGTGTTCCCATACTTGAGGTCTTGCCTGCCCTCAATGCTCCTGGCAGCAGAGCGAGCACACGGCTCTCGGGGCTCCAGGCTCTGCCTTCTCACAGCATCCCGCCATGGATGGAGGAGCCCGAGTCTTCACATGCACACCTGCACCTTGCCATCCCACACGGCTAAGCCATACTCACGAAAGTCAGCGAAAACACATTCACCGACTCACAAATTTGTATGGGCTTTCTGTATATCTGCGTTAATAGCTAGACAGTCTGAAACAGAGTGCTTGTGAGAAACGGCCAATTTAGTATTTCCTTGGGAACTGAAAATTTCCCATAACCTTAATTTGCTTCTGTAGTCTTCAGCTAAATATCTGCACTACCTTTGCATTAAGTGTAATATTTTTCATTTCTAGCTGCAATTCAACATAAGCCATCGCTGCTCTTACCCCCATGGAACTGTTTTTACCGTTTTTTCATTCAAGCCTTCTTACAGTGTCCATGGAACAGGAGATCTTGTACAGACCGTTCCATTGCCTACTTTTACCCCACTCGGTTATTTAACTGTCATTACTACAGTACTGTTAATGGATCTGGCAACACTCCACTATAATGGCTTTGCAAAAGCTCAAAAATGGCACATTTCTGTCTTGTAGAAGAAAGGCACCAGTTGGTTTTGAATACGCTCTTGCAGGATGTTAATCCTTGTCCTTTAAGGTCAGGTCTGTAATTTTTACTTTTACCATCCCAGCTTCTTGCATTATTCATAAAGGTATTTATGCAGACAAGATAAATAGGATAATTTACCTCAAAATAAAACACAATGGCTTCAGAACCCAGTCAAAAAGTAAAATTAAAATAATTCAATCTTTTCTAATGCCTCATCATATTTAAGTCACTGTGTGATAATACTGAAAGGAAAACTGTTCAGCGTCATGTAATAGCTAGCAATCTACAGTTTCAATGAGACAGAAGAGTTTTATTATAAAAGTGTCTGTTCATCAAACTCTTTCTGTGCTCTTTTTCATGCAAAAAATTTAAGATCCTTATCTTTAGCGCTCTGTTGATCAGGAGACCTAAAAGCAGGAAAAGCATGTACTAACAAGAAAGGATCACGCAGGTCTCAAGCTTCCTGAATTACAGGCGTACCCTGACAGTTAACTCCAGAGCATTACAGCTTTGTTTTCCACCTTAGAGCATTTTTCTTCAACATAAAAACACCAGAAAAATTCACCCAGTCAACTGAGGCATAAATTCTACGTAAAATACAGCCTCTTCTCATCTCCTACTCTGGCATGAGCCTCACTTCCAGGAGACAGAGATAGCAAGAAAGGGATGTCACTGACAGCACTATGCAAACAGCTTCCCCGCTGTAAAGGAGTCATTCGACTACTTCAAATAAAACCTGAAAGCAAAGACAACTACTTTGGATGAGCAGAGATGAAAAATTCTCTTTCTCTCTCTAAAAAACAATCTC